GAGGTCCCTAGCCCGAGATATGGAATTTTGATGAAACAATAAAAAGATTTAAATTCAAATAGTGACTGGATGTCAAATTATGTACAAACGACCCCAGAATAGAATTTTGATGATTCCAACAGCTCCATATGGTGATTTTGGACTTAGGAGCATGATCGGAATTTTATTTGGAAGTCCGTAGTGAAATTAGGCTTGAAATGGCTAAAACAAGAATTTAAGTTTGGAAGTTTGACCGGGGAGTTGACATTTTGATACCGGAGTCGTAATACAGTTCCAAAATTTTTTATAGCTCCGTTATGTCATTTATGACTTGTGTGCAAAATTTGAGGTCAATCGGAGTTGATTTGATAGATTTCGACATCGAACGTAGAAGTTGGAAATTTTAAGTTTCATTAAACTTGAATTGGAGCATAATTTGTGATTTTAGCATCGTTTTATATGATTTTGGGTTTCAAATAAGTTCGTATGATGTTGTAGGACTTGTTGGTATATTTGGTTGAGAGCCTCGGGTGGATTCCGGGTGGTTAACAGATCAAATTTGGAATTTGAAGAAGAGCTGAGGCAGCTGATATCTAGTGTGATCGCGGGTATGAAAAGTCCATCGCGGGTGCGAAAACTCCATTGTGGGTGTGAAGCCGCGGGTGCGAAAAATCCATCGCGGGTGCGAAGCCGCAGGTGCGAAAAATCCATCAAGAGTGCGAAACCGCAGGTGCGAAAAATCCATCGCGGGTGCGAAGCCTCAGGTGCGAAAATTTTTGCAGCGGGCGCAATGATCGCTGGGCAAATAGTGTTTAAAGCAGGGATTTGAGCATTTTTGTTCATTTCTTCATTCTTGGACGATCTTGGGAGCTTCTTGAGAGGAGCATTCACCTAGAAACTTGGAGGCAAGTTAATTCATACATATTGCAAGTTAAATACATGGTTTATATATGAATTTAGACATGAAAATTTGTAGAAATTTGGAGTTTTGAAGAAAAAACTAAAAATTGGTATTTTTGATTTTTCACTACGAAAATTGTTATGGAAATTATATATTTGAGTTCTTGAGATTATGGGTAACAATTCCCTCCGAAAATTTTTGAAATCCGGGCACGTGGACCCGGGATGAATTTTAGGAATTTTACCATTTTGGATAAGGTAATTTATTTAATAGATAAATTTTGAATCATTTAACATATATTAATTATTTTGTATAATATTTGGATATTTTCGGATTTTTCGGCGTCGAATCGAGAATTCAACACAGCGTGGTAATCGAAAAGTGGACCTTGAGACGTAGTAAGTCTCTTGTCTAATCTTGTGAGGGGAAAATTATATCATAGGGATTAAATTAAATAATTATTGCTAATTGCGGGGTCTACGTACGCACGAGTTGAAGAGAGTCGGTGCGTAGCTACTATTAATGCTAAAGTCCGGGTAGTTTAGGACTCAAATCATGCATTACTTGTGTAAATTATATTCTTTATTAATTAAATTATTTGCTGAGTATATTGTGAATTGTTATGAAGGGTAGTAAAAGATGAAATTTTCATATGCTTAATTTTTGTTTAGATTAAATAAATTGTTAAAAGAAATTGTTCATACTCTCGAATTTATCTTATAATAAACATACTCTCATTCCCGGAGGTACATAAGAAAAATGTCCTCCTTTCTTGTGGAGCGGGCCGAACGCCTCAGCAGGATAGATGCATCTATGGATCGTGTCGCACGTCCCTCGGCAGTGTACACGACACTCTGGATCGGGTTGTACGTCCTAGGCAGAAATCATACTTAATAATAATAATCACACGATACCTTAATAGCTTATTTCAGCTTGCGAAACTAATTGATAAATTGGAGAATCCTTGGAATTTAATGAATTATTATGCCTACTTGTTAAGGAATTAATTTTTATTCCTGTAAATGAGATTAATTGATAAATTAAAAATTATTTGAATTGAAGGAATTTAATTAATATATTGAGAATTGTTGCATTTGAAGGAATTTAATTACTTCTGCAGGTTAAATAAATTATTGTTAACTCTGTGAATCACGTTGATATAAATATTTCTATTTTTATGATTATTTAATATTATTGACCCATAGTGAGTGTCAAAGTCGGACATCTAGTCTCTACCTCTTCGAGATTAGGCTTGATACTTACTGGGTACACGTTATTTTCGTACTCATGCTGTACTTGCTGCACATTTTATTGTCCAGGTACATATTTTTCTAGCGGCCTTGTGGGCGTAGAGGTGTGGTTAATAATTGTGGGGACATAGGTAAGCTGCATTCTGTATTACGATCCGCAACCAACAGAATCTCCTTCAGAAATATTATATTTTCCTGTCTAATTTGTATTCTCGACATATGCTGTATTTTATTTTTAATTTCCTAGTAAATGCTCATGCACTTGTGACACCGGGATTTGGGATGATTATAGGTTGCACTGTATTGGAAATTTTTAAAGATATTATTACGTATTTTGTAAACTTCATCTTCTGCTATTTAATTGAGGGGAACAACTATGACTTCAAAAATATTAAAATGAGAATTTATTTAGTATTTATTGTTGGCTTGTCTGACAGCGGTATCCGGCACCATCACGACCTTTATGGATTTTGGGTCATGACATCAGCATATTCTCGCTTCACGGTCGAAGCTTCCTTCTAAGCCCTGTCCAGCTCGGCCTGAAGATCCTTGACTGCCCTGTCTTGTTGTTCATTGAGAAGCCTGTACATTTCCTTCTTCCGAACCTGCTCCTTGAGCTCGAACTCGAGATGGTTGATTTCGAAGCGGTACCGGAGGAAGCTCTCATGGTGAAGCACCATGGCCTGCAAAGCAACAAAAACAGTAAGAGATATTAAAACCTAAGTGAAATTCATGAGGGAGTGTTGATGCCTTACCCAGTTCAGCGCCTGTTGCGCATCATTGAAGAGACTCGATGCGCCCACCTCATTCATCTTTACCTGGTCCTCCTCGGCCACCAGGCATCGTAGGTAGCTGGTTATGCCCATAGAATGCGAGTATCCTCCGGGACGGTAAGAATGACTGTTCTTTTGCGGCCGAGGTCCACACTCGGAGCACGAAATTTCTTCACAAGTTTTGGGCTCGAACTCGGCCCGCCAGCTTCCGAAGGCGCGTCCTTCTTTGGGATCTCCAAGTCGCCCAGCCAAAATATCTTCTAAAGTGGACATATCCACGCCATCGAAGAAGGAGTGGATAGGGTCGTCCGCGCAGTGAACTCCATCACTTTACTTTTCCTTTCCTGCTTGGGCCTCTTCAAGTATGGACTCGGTGTAGAAGGGCATCTCGATGATGTCTATCACATTGGTCGCCTCCTTCGGAACAGAAGCGGCTTCTCAGGAGGTCTCAGCCCCAGTCTCTATTTCTAAAGGAGACCGACCTCACGACACTTTTCCTCGGTTGCCGCCTGCTCCTCTGCAAGGGTCGATCCATGACCGACAAAGATGTCATCTTCTTCGGACTCATCTGTGAGCAGGCGAAGCGAGTTAGAATCCGGCACTTGGGAGTTAGTGTTCTTCTTGGGTTTCGAGCCCGGGAAGCCGCCCTCTTTTTTGGCTTCACCTCGGGACCCGGGGAGCCCGAAGACTTTCTTTTCCTCTTTTTCTTCTCTCCCGCGGTAGCCCTGGGCTGTCCCGTAACGGAGGGATCAATAGGTAAAGACGTACCCTCGTCTCCTACTAGCGGCCTAACTTCGGTGGTCTTAGGCAAACCTGTGAAGGAAAGAGAAAAGGTCAGTGTTACGTGAGCTTGGGGCTTAATAATAACTATTCAGAGGAGAGCCTTACCATGAGAGCGGGCCTCCCACCTGCCCTTCTAAAGCTTGCGCCACGAGTGTTCGAAGTATGACATCTGCTTGCAGGTGCCTTCGAACCACTCCTTCATCCTGAGGACCGCATTGGGAACTCGAGCAACAGTTGCACGACCAAATGCTGATGGTAAGAAAGGAAACAAAGGAGACTTGACACTTAAGGAAAGACTATACTTACGAGATGCGTTCTACTTCTCGGGAAATGGCAAAAACTTAGGAGAGATCAAACCTTCAATTTTTACTCGAACAAAGTGCCCCTTCCAGCCTCTATCTCGATCCTCGCCGATGCTCGAAAGGGGAGCCTTGCTGGCCCAGCGAACGAGCTTGATTAGTCCCCCTCGGAAAATTTGAGGAATGTACAGACGGAGTACGTGGTCAAGGGTGAACTGAGGAGATTCGGTGTTGTTCAAAAAATAACGTAGGAGGATCACGATCCTCCAAAGAGACTGGTGGATTTGCCCAAGGCATACCTTGTATCTTTTGCAAAAGGCCACAACTACTGGGTCTACCGGGCCCAGCGTGAAGGGGTAAGTGTAAACACTTAGATACCCCTTCACATGGGTAGTAATATCGTCCTCAGGCCCGGGGACTACCGCTTCCTTACCTTCCCATTTACAGTCCTCTCGGACCATGGGAAGGGTGTCTTCGGTAATGGAGCATATATATCTCGATGCCCCTTCACCTCGGTCTTGGTTGGATGAGGCCTTCTCGACTTTGAAGTCGTCCCCAATTGAACAACCCCCAGGTATAAAGCGTTTCATGGGGGGCTCTGGGGCCGCTTCGGTAACAGTCAATTCGGGAGAAGCCATCTCGAGAGCAACCACCTCGGGAACGGCTTCCTCGGTACCTGTGGCCGGGTAGGAAGATGAAGAGGCAGCTTTCTAAGGAGCTGATTTGGAAGTCTTAGCCATCGTGATTTGGAAAATATGAAGATTTGAAGGGAAAACACTACAAAAAATGCTAAATTTGCGGAGGTTTTATTGCAGCGGTTACTATAACCTCCGCAATCTATATCAAATTGTGGGGGTTTATTTACCCCCGCAAATATATTATATTTACGGCGGTCAGTAACCTCCGCAATCCTTAAAAACATAGCGCCCACTAACCCCGATGTTTCCTTCGATTTTTACTCCTTTCCCTCTCTTTTTTTCCCAAACCCCTTTCTCATTTTCGCTTATTTTTCATTTTCAGAAACCCACGCCCACTCTCACTTAATCAAAACCCATAGCAATAAAGCTACTACAGATCTATCAATCTATTTTCCTTCACTTAATCTCTTCCATTTCTTCTTCACGTAATCTCTTCCATTTCTTCTTCATTTCCTCCGATTTCAAGCCGGTGTAGTTGCAAAATTCCAAAACAATAGCTCTCTGCTTTTCTTCAGCGCCTCCTCTTTCTTCAGTGCCTCCTCTGTTGCAAAATAAAAGAGATATGAAAGAAAACTTCAGATCTATCAATTAATTGGATGTAAGTTTATTTGATTTTGCTCTTTCATACAAATTCCTCTTCGATTTTGCTTTGATTTTGCTCTTTCATACAAATTCCTCTTCGATTTTGCTTTGATTTTGCTCTTTCATTCTTTGATTTTGCTTTTTTGTTTTTCTTTCTTCATGCATGTGGGTTTTGAGTTTATTTTCTCTGTTAATTTGTAGAATCGGTGTATTTTGACGAAATTTGGTAGAATCGGTGTATTTTGAATCGGCAGAAATTTGGTAGAATCGGCAGAAATTTGGTAGAATCGGTGTATTTTGAAGAAGGATATAACTCTCTCTATTGAAATCGAGATGTAAGTCCTCTTTCTCCTTTTGCATTAGGTATTATAGGTTCTAAAATTTAGATTTTTTGTGTATTTTGTAGGTTAATTTATGTGATTTGGGTCTTAATTGAAATATTTCCTTTTGCATGTGTATTTTAGAACTCCTGGGGACCTTCAGAGAAGACGCAATTGTCGCCGATTGATTTTTCTCTTTTTGCTCTGCGTTGTGTTTGAATCAGTCTCAAGGTACATTTTTTATTTTTCTGTTTAATAATATTGGAGTCAAAAAATATATCTTCTTTTGGATAAGAGTACAAAAACTACAGTACTACTTTCCAACCGGCAGAAAATTTCTTGCTTAAAAGTTGGTGTATCATGGAACTGTAGTTGTATTTAGTAAACTTACTTTTGATTTCTGGTTTGTATAAAAAGATTTGTTCTGTCTTGCTTTATGACTGTACTGTTGCATAAATAGAATAGAAAGTATGAATGAAACACATTGTGAACAAAATATTTTCTGTTAATTTCTAGAGTGATTAGTAGTAACGTAATATTTGAGAAAATACATACAACCATAAATGTTCTTCTGTTATTAAAAGAAGCTAGAGTAGTCCAAAAATTACCACTACACCTGTGTCTAATCCTGGAGATATTATTGGAGGATACGAGCAGGCATAGGTTAGGAGCAAGTGTTATACCGAGATATTATTCTGCAGTGCATCGACTAATTCGTCTACGTTAGAATTGTCGTATCGTTCTTCTGCAATTTCAATTGTGTTGGAATCCCAGACCTGTCATTAGTTTGAGAAAAACTTCATCTGATGGAAGTTAAATTATATGTCAAGGCAATTTAGCTATTGTACCAATGAACATCTATTGTATTGGCTCCCCTATCTGATGTAAATCCAACATGCAATGGCTGCATATGAACAGAAAAAACTATGGCCTCAAACTGTAAAATCTTTAACATATTTTGAAAAATACTTATTTATTCAATACTATACCTGATGAATGTCCCCCATAAAGTGAGAAAGGAAGAGAAGTGATTCTGTCAAATTGCCTGATAATTACACAAAATACATAGTCAAAATGTAGTTATTATCAACCTTATTGCAATAGAAGAATGAAACAAGTAAGAATTAGCATAAATTACATGTTATAGTATTTTCATTGGCACTGTTATAACTAAGGAGCTGGTGAGTGTAATTGTTGATACCATATAAATATCAATATCAACCACAACCACTTTTATTGTTCTGGAAAAAGAAAATCCAGTTTTTATTCAGCATATCATATTGTTTTCAATGTGTAATTTGAGTTGAAAGGTCTTTTTATTTTCTTCACTAAATAGTGGCTTTTATGAAGTGGCACTTCAGAGTTAGTTTGTTTATTTTAGATTCTTGGCCTCATTTCTTCCTTAACATTATAGGTGTATCATATTCCACAGTAAAATATTCCAGCAGTTTGGATTTTTTCCTTTGCAAACAAATATTCCTTATACATATCCGTTGATTAATCAATCCAATATATACAAGATAGATGTTTTCATATACATATTTACAATTAAATCATGAATAAGTAATGTGTTTTCTTTTCAACTTTTAATTGCTAAGTTAAACTGTTTGATTAGAATAAAAACCAAGTACGAGTAAGTATTTACTCATATATTCTGTGCATAACATAATCAGATTGTTTGCATTCATTATATCCTAATTCCTAGGAGTAATTTAGAAGAATAAATATATGTTTATTATTATAACATTAACCATGCACTAACAATTGAAGTGTACGCTTATGGTAATAATTCATTTTGGTACTTTAATTAAACTAGCAACTATTCCTAGTTAGTTAAGTTAATGCGAATTTGACCTTTTCATTTATAGAATTGCAGTGCCAAAGTTTCACCACTTGTTTTATAATAGAAAAAGATATTATTCTTCTATTGTTTTTCCTTTTTAACTTGTCAATCAGTGATTGAAGTAATTACACTGGCTTTTGGTGTGTAATATATTTAGGAAAAAATTGAACTAGCATTGAGCCAAAGTACCGTGGATGAGTCTGAAATTTCGCCAAATGATATTATTGGTAAGGTGTTGGGAAAAGAGCTCTCTGGAAGGGTAAGGTGCTTAGGATTAGGAGTTGTTCCTGGTAGAGCTTCTAGACAAACAAGACCTCGTTATAGTGATTTGAATGCTTCAAGTTATAATAATGATTCATGTTCTTTCCAATGCCAAGAGAAGTACAATCAAATGTTGAATGCTCACAATCAAAGCCAAGAGAACTACAGAGAAATGATGAATGTTAACACTCAAATGATGAATGCTTTTAAGGCGTATATGATAATGAAAGAAGGAAAAATACCTGAAGAATTTGCAAGGATATTTGTTTCTCCTCCTCGTTCAACGGTAAGAATAGTTCATAACTTTCTTATTTAATTTTGTAAAGTATGATTGTTCAGTCCAAGCATTATTAGTTAGGATATTGTTGAGGTACTTTTTGTTAATTATATTTTCTTTTGATTGTTTTGTAGCCAAGTGATGCGGCTAGCGGATCCATTTCACCCATGGATATAAGAAGATCATCCGGTGGAAGTAATTCTAACGACAACCATTGAAGTTGCTTGCAAATGTATTAGATAACTAAGTATCGTACTCGATTGAATGGTCATAGTAGATCTTTTGTCCATAATAGTTGGAGTGGATGTTCTGTTTAATGTTAGTTTTAAGACTAATTATAATATTGATATTTTGTGTTTAATGGTTGGAGTAGCTGTGTTTAAAGTAAAATTTTGTGACTAATGATAATTTACTTTAATGTATTTTGTGGTTTATTAATATATTGATGTTACTTGATTTCAGTAAGCAATTTATATAATTTGTTGATGCTTTATTATATTAATATAATTAAAATTGGAACAGTTATGGAGGAACATTGCAGAAAAAAAAAATATTCAATGAATAGCGAAGGTTATAATTGCCGCTATTTTACCTATAATAATATCGTGTTATAAATTTGTGGAGGTTAAATAAAGAAATTGTGGGGGTTTAGACCTCCACTATTATTTTAACAAGTAACAGCCAAACTACCAAATTATGAAGGTTATACCGCCGTCAAATACCCGCTGCTATATGATAACGGCGGTCTGTCAAAAAATCCCCGCAAATTGATTGCGACGAACATTATTGTGGGCGTTTTGGAAACCGACGTAAAAGTATATTGCGGAGGTTTGTGATCGCCGCAATATATAAATAAAACCTCCGCAAATTCATCGTTTTTTGTAGTGAGATATGAAGATTTGAAGGAAAGTTATGATGGTTTGAAGGAAAAAGTATGAAGGTTTGAAGGTAGGATGAAGATCTGGGTAGAAACCTAAGAACAGTTACGAAGATTTGAAGATCAAAGATAAAGAGATGAAGATTTGAAAGAGTTGATAGCCGCCAGAGAATTTGAAGGTAAAAGCTAGGATCTAAAAGTGGAAGAAGTACAAAAGGTCGAAGCTTTTATAGGAGAAAATGTAATCAATACGTGACACTTCACATTCGGAGGTGACCAGCCGATGATTGACACGTGTTCGAAGTCAGAGCGACGCGATTGATGGGACGTTTCGGCTTACTCACCATCTCGGTTGCAACGTACGAAGGAAGGAACCGAGGTTCATCTATGATTTCCTATCGTTTCGGCGAACCTACTCTCTGAGAAATGAGGGGACTATCTGTATACAGGTGAACTCGGGGTTAGCACACACCCCGAGTTCTCGGTGAGTCAAACGAAGTATGAATGTATGAGATAGAGACCGAATATGAGAACTCCTTGAATCGAGGCCGGAACGGGATGCTCGCCACCGGGCCTGACAAGACAACACTTCCCGAACCCGGAACGAGCTCTAAGACCTCGGAAAATACTACAAACGGTTGCGACTAACAGAGGACCGTGATATCCACACCCAATCGGAAATCACGATGCGGATCTCGCCCAATGTCGGTAGTGTATCAGTGATTGACGTACAAGAAGAATTTTTACCTTTTTTAGAATTATACTAGAGGTAAAATTCCCTACTATATAAAGAGAAAGTTTTTTATTCAGTAGACACATTGTAACACATATCAAGGCAATACAAACTTATTTCTCAGCTTTCTAGCTATTGAAAGGTTCTTATTTTAATCATAGTTTTTCATACACATTTGGCTTTGAATTGAGGGTTCGGTCAAGGGCAACACTATTGTTCAGCTTAAATCCGATCTCGGATTCAACGTCACATCTGGTTTGGTTATTTATTTTATCTTTAATTCGTTTGTCTAACATTCTTGATTACTTGTGTTAAATCAATCCACATATCCTTAAAATCGTATATAAGTTTTATTGTTTTCCGTTTTAAGGGTAAACGACTTATTTTGGGAAAATGACTTATTATTACTTGTCTTAGCTTGGAAGTAGTAACAATATTATGGAAGTTTCTTACGGTTCATTTGCCTAGTAATTTACTAAATTAAGCGGTTAAATGTACAAGGAGGGTCAAAGAAAACGAAATTAAAGAAAAACAAATCGAATAGACAATGACAAGAAAGTTAATGATGAGAAAATGCCATGCAGCCAGAATTTTCTACGTTGTTTACTGACCAATAGAAAATTTTGCCCCATTTGACTCAAAAAGCATCTTAAAATCCCTTTACCCGATCATCATTCTATTTCAATAAATAGTTAAAACAAAAAAAGAGGAGGGTCAAATCAAACTTCTTCTTAGCTCCGGAGGAAAGTAAATATACAATAAGTTGGCTCAATTAACTATTTTTTTTTAATTGCGAGGAGGGCTAAGTCAATTTAAAGTTCCTCTTAGGCATAGTCGTAGAAAAGTAAATATTCCTATAACAATAAGTTGGTAAAGTAAATTAATTTTCTAATTGACTTATCAATCTTTCACTTTTTCAGCTCTTTGGTTGTCTACAGAAAATCGCTGCCGTAAATGCTGACCTTCCCTAAAAATAATTATTTTAATGTTTAGATAATGCACGCAGCTTGACATTTTTTGTTATCTTCGTTCCCTAGCTTATAAGTTAGTTCACATGATTTCAGTAATTTTTTTTCTGATCATATATTTATATTAAAAATTTATTAAATATCTAAATATTTCATCGTAAATCAAATTATTATGTATCTTAACTTGAGATTGTTATAAAAATTCACGTGAGATGATAATTTTTTATTCGGTAAAAAGTAATATTATTTCGTTAGAATTAGTAGGAACAAGTCAGATTTAGTATGCAATCTCTTAGAATTGGAGGTTTCCAATGTGAATGCACGAGTACAACAACAACAAACTCCAGTGTAATTGTACAAGTAGGGTTCGGGAAAGATAGTGTGCACGTAGTCTTATTCCTAATTTGTGAAGGTAGAAATTTTGTTTCCGATAAACTTTCAACTCAGGAAAAGTATAGACAGTGTTGTAATGTGAATGCACGAGTATATGATATATTCTGTGTAAATCAAAGCTATGCTAGAATATATAATGCTCATCAAAAGTAAAAGATTCCTTGCAACTTTATGTATCTTCCTTATAGCACAAGAAACTAACACCTATGAAAGAAATAAAAAGCTTTGGAATATCAATTTCATGGTAATTTCGATCTACTTTAAAAAGCTATAGATTAGTCAGAATCCAGAACTTAGACAAAATTGTGTTGTGCTCTTAGTCAAAAGTAATTGCTCTTTATCTAGGACAATGCACCTGTATCATTAGGCAAAAATTGTGAACTTAGATTTTTAGTGCATGAATCAAAGATATGTTAGGATCGGGAATCCGGGTAGTCAGAATCTAGTCAAACAACAGTATAATGACAATAACAAAGACAATGAAAATTGATAACAATGGCAATTAAAGCAGATACAGAAGAAATTAATTTAACGTGGTTCGGTCAGTGTGATCTACGTCCACAAGCGAAGAGGAGCAATTTCACTATAACAATAAGAGTACAAAAGAGAGTACAAAATTAGAGTAAATACCCTAATTAATCCCAAATACCCTAAGAGAATAACCTCACAAGATCACTCCAAAGAAAGGGTTCACACAAGTGCTTCCCAACACTAACTCTCATACAAAACACTCTTAATAAATGAGGAAAGGAAGAAACAAAAAACGAAGACTCGAGTCTTGTTGGTGTGTCTAAAATGAACTAATGGCCTTCCCTTTTATAGTTAAAAAAGTTTTGGCCTCTTAGGTGTAAAAGAAGAGATACAATTGTGCAAATGATGTCCATCATACAATGCAATATTTTTGGGTCCCAAAGAATATTGTCAACAAAATCTACACTTTGCAAAGATGCTTATGCTTATGTGAGATGTACTCCATTAGCCAAAATATTGGTCATAATTACAAAATATTTTTAGGATTTGAATTTCATAATCTTACATAGATAACGTTATAGGGAAATATATATGATGCAGAAAATATTATTACAAAAAAGAAGAGTCTTAAATTGGTTTCTCCCCTTGCTCTAGCTCTTGTCACTGTATCTTGTTACTGTCACCTTTAGTGATGGGAAAAAAGGAAAGAGAATATGGTAACCTCAATAGGTGGTGGGAGGACTAGTTTATAGAGGTTATTGCTTAATGAGGTAACATGTGAGATTTTTTCTTCATTAGATATTGATTATATGCTTTTACATAGATTGAGACACACATAAAATAATAAAAATCCAACAAAAATAACGAATTTGAACTTATGCATCACGATCGAGTCATTTATATAGCAACGACAAGTAAATTTGTGCGTAAATAGTGATATGATAAAATAATATTAGTCGGTTATTATTTATAAATTAAACTACACTGATCGTGTAAAGAATATTTACACTCTCTGTATGTATAACTTAAAATCTTTGAGAAAATCTTTAATCTTTCTTGTTTTAGCTTTCCCATTTTCCAAATCAAGGATTCTAAGATAATTCTAATTAACTAAAAGTGGATTCTTTAATTAAACCATGCAAAACACAAGTCAATGAATCTACTTTAAGTGATAATTGATGTCGCAAAAGTCCACTATGTACCTTTAATATTCTCCCCCTTCTTTAGTCTTTACCAAATCATAAGATAATTGTGTTTGTTTGGATTTTGGGTCCCTTCCTTTGACAAATTACATATCTAACTCCCAAAAATTCAAACTTTCTTAATTCCTTGTACTTGTCACACAGTTATAAGTTATACCTGGATCTCGTGTTATTCGACTTTACCATTTAATTATCAAGAAATCAATCAATTTGCAGTTCACCTAACAATTTTAGTTAGGTGCACTAACAGAGTAAAAAGATTAAGTTGACTAATAAAAATTGGTAACTCTCAATATCAAGCTTGTACTTAAATGACATAAACAACCAGAAACTCGAGAGGATCGCCTTTGGAGAAGCGTTTGTCGGTAACCAAAGCCTCACTCTGATTATGTCATGGGACTCACTGAATTCAATCTATGAACCCGTTCCTCACCCTCCTTCCAATCAATCTACTCTAATGTATTCAAAGACTGGGAAAAGAAGGAAGGGATTGATCGCCAACTTAAATAGATCCATAACCTGCTTCCATTTGTTCCGAATGAGGGAATTAAGACGGTATATCAAGAGTAATAACTTGCTTTAACAGTTACATTTCATTGATGATATAAAAGTTCTTTATATATACTCCATCAATATCAATTTATGCGTTTTACTTTCTTTTTTAGTCCGTTTTCAAAAATATGATAATACAACATCCTTATCATATTTAGTAAGTTTTTAATTTAAACATTCTCATTTTACCCTTGATGATATTCTTTTATGACAATGACATGTTTAATACCTCAAGATTCAAATAATATTTCTGGTATGCTATACGCACTTTTAATTTAATGCCACAATTCTAAGAGTTATTGTTACATTCTTAAACTTCGTGTCTTAAAATAAAATATAACGAGTAACTTAATTAATAGTTATTCTTGTTTTAATTACTTTTTCAAACGTAGGAAGCCATGCAAAATTTAGTCTTTGTGTTAGCTGTTAGGTAACCTGCCGAAAACAATTACCTTGAGAGTGCTTTCTCTACTCTATAAATACTTGACACTTCTCAACATCCTGTGCACAACACACTTCTTTCCTTAGATCTAATTAAGGACTTTAATTATCCCTTTAATTAAAGTCAGCTTTCTCTAATGGCTTCTTTAAAGATTAATGCTATTGTTTTGTTTATCTTTGTGAGCTTACTAATTGGAAATTCATCAGCTCAACTTTCAACTGGTTTCTACTCAAAATCTTGTCCTAAACTTTATCAAACTGTGAAATCTGCAGTGCAATCTGCTATTAAGAAGGAAACTCGAATGGGTGCTTCTCTTCTTCGTCTATTCTTCCATGATTGCTTCGTCAATGTAATCTACTATCTTCATTTCCTCTTTCTTTGCTTTTCTCTTTTCATTTGAGTTCAATTTTTATATACAAACGGTCAGTGGCGGAGCCAGAATTTTCACTAAGGATGTCAAAAAATAAAATAAATAAACACACGAAGAAATTAAGGGGGAGTCAAGATATAGTAAGTAATATATACGTTTAAATTTTTTACCTAGCTACATAGTTGTAACTTTTCGAACGAATGGATATCAATTGATACCCCTTGGGATAACGTGGCTCCGCCACTACTAACATTGAAATTTTGCTTACACTAAGGCTACCTAGAAGATAGCCATAAGTAATCGTCTATAAAAAGTGAAACTTAGTAACTTAAAAAAAACAGGGCATTACATGTTAAGTAACATATTAGTAGAATATATTTATAGTCCGTCAATATATATAACTTAAATGCTTTTATTTTGCACTATTTTACTGTTTACTTTTTCTAACTGTATACATAGATTATCAACTAATTATATATAGTTATACATATATTATATATGGATTATACATATATTATATATCCGTCGGCTATTTTTAGCTTAAACGGTTGGTTGAACGACTATTTAGATTAATTCTTCTTTAATTATTTCCTTTCAGGGATGCGATGGATCGTTACTCCTTGATGACACATCAAGCTTCACAGGAGAGAAAAGGGCTGCTCCAAATGTCAATTCTGCTAGAGGATTTGAAGTTATTGACAATATCAAATCTGCTGTTGAGAAAGTGTGCCCTGGTGTTGTTTCTTGTGCTGATATTTTGGCCGTTACAGCTCGGGACTCTGTTGTTATTGTAAGTTTTAATTATATTTTCAAGACTTTTTCAAGTTAAGCAACTGCATTTTAAGTTTATATTCTCATATAAGTAATTTTGTGACCTTATTATGTATATATATGCAGCTTGGAGGCCCCAATTGGAATGTAAAATTGGGCAGAAGAGATGCTAGAACAGCAAGTCAAGCTGCTGCAAATAGAAGCATTCCTCCTCCAACTTCTAACCTTAATAGACTCATTTCTAGTTTCAGTGCGGTTGGCCTTTCCACTAAGGATATGGTTGCCTTATCTGGTTTGTTCTTTTTTCCCTAATTCCCTCCTGTTTAAATAATATTTAAATTATATACATGAACAATGCAAATCTTTTTAACACTATTAATATAGTTTAACATGTTATATGTTACGCGGCGCCTTCCTGAAGTTCCTTGGAAGGGCGANCACCCCCAAAAAAAAATAAAAAAGGAAAATATACTCTCAATCCATAAAAGCTGATGGAATTACATTTAGGGGTTGTTTGGTTGGAAATAAGTTATTCCAAGATTAATTATCTCAGGATTAGTTATTTCACCTTTTCATGGGGATAAAAAAATACTACAATCCCAGAACAACTAATCCCGGGATTAATTATACCGCAGTTTTCTACAAATCAAATATGGGATAAACTCTTCTTAAATTTAGTCCCGGAATTAATTATTCCTTATTTCTCATATCAAACGAGTCCATACAGTACTTAGTTTAAACAGATTTCTTATTATGGATAAGCTAGATTTTTGAACATACAAGTTATATTAAAGTATGTTCATCTCAACTCACTAAATCTAGCGTATTTATATTAAAACAAGTAATCACAAATTAAAATTCACACAAACAAAAAAATTGACATTATAAATGTCCCCTGCTTAGGCCTAAACACCAATAATCCCTAAAGAACAGAGGAAAATTTTGAAAATTAAAGGGCAAAGATCTCTTTTAACCCGCGGTCAATAATATTTATATTTGGTAGCAGTAAAAGTGTATAAAATTTGTATATAACATACATAAATGAATATTTATACAAAAAAAATAAAATATTTTCAGATTATTATTTTAATAGCGGCTATACAAGTTCATTTTTTAAAAATTTAAACTATGTTTATGTTTATGTTTGACAGGGGCACACACAATTGGACAAGCAAGATGCACAACATTTAGGGCACGTATATACAACGAGACCAATAACTTAGATGCATCATTTGCAAGAACTAGACAAAGCAACTGCCCAAGAAGTTCAGGTTCAGGGGACAACAGTTTAGCACCACTTGATCTTCAAACTCCTAACAAATTTGACAACAATTATTTCAAGAATCTTGTTAACAAAAAGGGTATTCTTCACTCTGATCAGCAACTCTTTAATGGTGGATCTGCCGATTCGATTGTGACATCTTACAGTAACAATCCTCGCAGTTTTAGCTCTGATTTTGTTACTGCTATGATTAAGATGGGTGATATTCGTCCCCTTACTGGTTCTAATGGAGAGATTAGGAAGAACTGCGGTAGGATCAATTAATGTTGATTAGCATATTTTTTTTGTGTGTGTGTGTGTGAACTTTCCCTTGTGGACCGGGTAAGGTTAATTTTTGTGTGTGTGTGAACTGCAAACTTTGAGACTTCTTTATATATTTTTACAATTTTTTACTTTCCTTTTAAGTTTCTTGCTTAATATGCAGGCTCAAATGTATGTTACTCTGTTAAAGCTTCAAAGCACAACTTTTTCTAGAGTTAAGGACTGTATTTGTATCATTATTGGAATATTCCTTGTGTTTCAAATTAGACGAGTTATTTACTTTTTAGTTTGTTTCAAAATAAATGACACATTTTTAAATTTGAAAATAATTCAATTTTAAACTCTTCATTTTACCTATTTTACCCTTAATGAGAAGCTTTTATAACCACACAAATATTATGGCCCTACAAAGCTTTCACCCCTTAACCTTTTAAGACCACAAGTTTAAAAATCTTTTTTTTTAACTTAAATTTCGTACCGAGTCAAACTAACTCATCTAAATTGAAACGGATAGGGTATTATGAATAAAAATACCTTTTTTGTTAAACAAAGATATATTCCTGCAAATTTATTGGTATTTCACTGAATAATTGCAGCAACAAATACGCACTAATAGCACCACTATTTCGATAGTAGTGTCGTTTGATTAGCCTGGGAGGCATTGATACTTGTCTTTAGCAAAAAAACATTATTTATCATAATCACAATCTTCCAATTAATTATCACTTTTAATTGCTTCAAATACTTGAAAAATGATAATTTAGCATGCCAACTAAAACTTAATAGACAGGGGGTGGAGTTAGAGTGTCGGTAACAGGTTTGGCCGAATCCACTAGCTTTGGATCAAACTCTATATTTGTCTTTAAAAAAATACTAAATACTCCCTCCGTTCACTTTTACTTGGCGCATTTTGACTTTTCACGCCCCTTAAGAAATAATAAATGAAGTGCATAATTTACCATGATACACATATTAATTGATGCATATTTTATTGGATTTAGAAAATGATTTGAAATGAGTAATAAATACTGTAGGCATAACAGGAATTTTTTTTTGTCTTCTCTTGATATGCTTAAAGTGACAAGTAAAGATGAAAATCTATTTTTAGTATACATGCAAAGTAAAAGTGAACGGAGGGAGTATGTAGAAATTATTAATTTAGAACTCAGTGACTTAAATAGATTAGAATTCTAAACCCATAAACTTAAAATTCTGACTTCGTCTCTGCTTGTAGCACCGGTGAGAGTCTACTACATAATATGTTCACGTTCTGCCTTTTTCCTTTAAGAAAATAATTTGGCTTGCTATGGTACGCTAGTGTAACGACCCGACTTGTCATTTTAAGAATTAACGCCCCGTTCTGTGACTTAAGGTCTCGAGCAGCTTCGTAATATGTATTATGACTCGGGGGTGTGGTCGAGTTTGATTTTCGGAAGACTCGGAAATAAATTGAAAGAACAATTCTGATTTAGAAGCTTAGATGGAAAGAGTTGACCGAGGAGTTGACTTTTGAGCAAACGACCCTGGAATGAAATTTTGATGATGTCAATAACTTCGTATGGTGATTTCGGACTTAGGCGTATGTCCTTATTTGGATTTGGAAGTTCGTAGGACAATTCAACGCATTTTGGCGAAAGTTGGAAACTAGACTATTTTCGAAAAGTTCGATCGAAGGTTGAATTTTTGATAACGAGGTCGAAATCCGATTCTAGAAATTGAAATAGGTCTGTTATACCATTTATGACTTGTGTGCAAAATTTGAGGTCAATCGGACTTGATTCGTTATGTTTCGACATCGAATGTAGAAGTTGGGAATTTCATAATAGACTAAAGTTTCAAGTGAGTTTGCATAAGATCTAAATTCAAATGAGCATAACTCTCATGATACGAAATGTTATATGATGTATTACCTATCAAATGAAAGATATTTGAGTCTAGTTTCTAACGCTTCAAACCGTTCGTCATTTGAATATTCCTACAATTAGTTATGACCAAATTACCGAAGGCTAAAAAAATGCGATTCGATCAATTCTGCGATCGTAGAATAATTATGCGATCGCGAAATTGCTTCTGCGATCGCAAACTGGTCGCAGAGTGGACCAGAACATCACAGTTCCGGGCATCGATTTTTGCGACCATTGTGCGGCCCTCATACCTATTCTGCGGTCCATTATGCGACTGTAGACCTGCTTTCGGAGGGTTAATTTTCCTATTTTCATAACTCGACCCCATTTTAATAAATAGTCTTTTGGGCTTATTTTGGGGAGTTTTTCTGAGGGTTTTAGAGAGAGAGAGGTAAGAGCATTAGAGAGAAAATGAGGAAGCCTAACATTCTAATCATCCAATCTTCAAGAATCAAGGAAGCTAATCATAAAATCTTTATCTAAGAGGTAAGATTCAACCCCTAGTTTTCAAATTTCGAGTTTGGGATAAAAGATTGGTGATTGGGAGTATAATTCTTAGGTGTACGAGTATTATGTTTATATGCTTGTACCAATAAGATTTGTGGGAAGATTGTTGAGATCAAATAAATAAAGATTGGGTTGTGGAATGAAGGAAATCGTGTAGAAGAACCTTGTAACCAAATTTGAACACCTAGTGTTTGATAAAATGCTCAAATGAGCTGAAATCATGAAAATCTTCCTAATTATAGCTCACTTTTGTTATGTTTCTAAATAGATTGAAGTTGCTGGATTTTCGGAACCTCGTAGTAATGTAAGGAAGGCTCAAGAAAGATTGGAGCCATCCGGAGATCAATTCACGTGAGAAAGCTATTTTGGAATATCGACCTAAGTTCAAAAAGGTAAATATCTTGCATAACCTCGAGTGGGGGAATTACCTCATAGGCATCGAGTCTTATGTGCCATTTGTGAAATGTGAAAAGCCGTGTACGCGATGTGACGAGTACGTACTCAGGCTTATATGTACAAAATGTATTGAGTTAAAGTCTTGGGCATATTGTGTAGTAAAATGGATAATTGTTGGCATTTATAAAATCATCCACTTGCCATGCCTCAATTCGCGTTTGTTGAATTTATTTTTGTATGATAATTTGAGGTAATTATTACTTGTATATTTATGTGAATTCCGTGAATTTGATGATTTGATATTTCTTAGAATTTAATTTCATTATGAATTTTCTGTCTCAAATAATTAATTAAACAAGCTTAAGAAGGAGTGTTAGTATAATTATCAAATTTGGATTAATGAAGGTGTTGCCCTATGCTGATTATTTTTCTATCGTTGTTGATTGTTTTTAAGGTTTTATACACATTGTGTGGAGTCTTGGGCTATTTGTTGTGAAATTAATTAACTTTGTTATATCTTTGGAATTGGTTGTGGCCATTGGGCAAATCGTGATATGAATTGATTTTGTTATGTTGACATGAGAATATTCCGTGTAAATTGTTGTGCTATTTGAGTTATTATTTTGAGGATATAAGAGTGGCATTCCAGAATTGATATAATATGGGTATAAGGGTGGCATTTCACTATAGGAGCGATAAGGGTAGCTATAAGAGAGATAAGGGTGGCTATAGGAGCGATAAAAGTGGCTATAAGAGAGATAAGGGTGGCTATAGGAGCGATAAGGGTGGCTATTGATATTGTCAGGGCAGAGGGATAAGGGAGGCTATTAAAGGAGTGATAAGGGTGGCTATAAGAGAGATAAGGGTGTCTATTGTCAGGGATGATATGTGATGATGATGTTGAGTGGTTGCATTGGTAATTTTTATGTGATGTTGTGATTTTTCTTGTGTTTATTTTTATACCTTGTGCAAGTTAAAATTGGGAGCCTGTGGCTATTGCTAGGCAGATCATGAAAAGAAATATGGGCAGGAGGTACCGCGAGTAAATAATGATGATGTTGGCACGTGAATTGTCCGTGCAGTTGAGATATGAAACATGTGCACGGATTGCCGGGAAAATATGATGGTTTTATTTTCGACACGTGAACTGTCCATGTAGATTGATATGAAAAGTGGGCACGAGGTGCCGGAAAAATATGATGATTTAATTATGGGCACGAAGTGCCGTGAAATTATGAAAGTGGGCCGAGACCCTTGTTTACAAAAAATATAAAATTGGGCTGAGACACGTACTTTATGATTTTGAAATGAGGTGTCACATGGTGAGTTCTATTTGAAAGAGATTTATTGAAAGAATTATATTTGAAAGATACTTATTTGAGGAAATTATATTTGAAAGAGATTTATTGAAAGAATTATATTTGAAAGATATTTATTTGAGAAAATTATAATTGAAAAAGAGTTATTTGGAAGAATTATATGTGAAAGATATTTATTTGAAGGACTTGATTTAATTGAGTGTACTTGTATTTACTATTTGTTGAGAAATATTATTAACGGTGTTCTTATTGCCCTGCTGTGCATATCACTCATTGATTTGTGTTGCCCTTATTGTTATTTGTTTCCTATTATTCTGTATATTATGTTGCACAGGTTATTAGACTAGTGAGTGTCTTGGCTGTACCTCGTCTCTACTCCACTGAGGTTAGTCTTTATACTTACTGGGTACCGGCTATGGTATACTCATACTACACTTCTGCACATTTTTGTGCAGAGCTAGATATTGAAGATATCAGACCCGGACAGAGTTAGAGTGGGATCGCAAGGATTCAAGGTAGAGCTGTTTGATCGTCGTAGTTCATTGGAGTTTTTATTTTTATTTTTATTTTTATTGTACTGTTAATTATTATTCAAACAGTATTGAGTATTTGATCCTTGAGATCAATTCATGTATTCAGTTAGAGTTCGTGACTCAGTATTACCAGTCTTGGGAGATTTTCATATTAGTTTCCGATGTTAGTTGTTTTGTTTTAAAAAAGGTGAGTTGGCCCGTCATGCACCTATCTTGGTACCTACAGTCAGAGAGCGGGTTCGCAGATTCATTGAGGGGTTATGATCTTAAAATATGCATGGCTCGAGAGTTGCAAACTGATACTCCATTTCAACAAGTAGTGGAGATTGCGAGGAGGATTGGGGATGTTCTAAGTGAGGAAAGGGAGTCTAAGGAGACCAAAAGGTCTCGAAGCTCTGGAGGGTTCAATCGATTTTACTCCTTAGCTATGGCCCATTATGGCGGAGGCTCGAGTAGTCGGCCAACTCAGTCCGCACATCTGATTACTCGGGGTGCTCCAGTAAGTTCTTATAGTGCACCACCTACATGAGATTCTTATAGTGGTTATTCCAGTTATCCGATACAGATTTAGTACGAGCAACCACGACC